CCGTCGAGAGCAGACCTGGAATCGCAGCAGACAAGCAAGGGGCAGAAACCATCTGCTTCTTCCTCAGCCTGAGTGGAGGATGCCCCGTCAGAAACTCTGAGAGACAGTTTGATAGGCTCAGGGGCATCAGGACGGAAGATGTAGACACCAGCCCCGGCCCTACCTGTAGCGGGGTCAACAGAACCATCAGTGTAGAGGACAACCCTACCTGGGAACCAGTGAGCGATCCTGGAGAGGTGGTATTTGAAGAGAATAACAGGGTTCACCTGGGATTTCGGGAGCGGTCCACCGAGGGCAATCACTTCAGGTTGAAAATCCAGCCAGGGAGAAGGAGACAAACCAACAGCAGGGGTGACAACAATATCAGGCAGGAGGTCGTGTTCCTGAAGGGCTCGGATGAGTGACCCTCGCCACTGTCTTCTAGATGGAGGTCGGTCTCGGACAGCAGGAGTCAAGTTGGTTTGGACATAGTTGCCCCTAGGATCCCGTAGAATGGAAACGGCAGTTTTTAGGTAAAACTCCTGGACACGATCCTGTAAGGGGGAAAGACCAAGTTCGGTATATAGAGAAGTAGAGCGTGTCCACTGAGGAGCCCCAAGGATGATACGAGCAGCTTTCCTCTGGATAACTTCGAGACGGTTGACAGCAGTCCGACTAATGTTGACGAGGGCAGGGGCGGCGTAGTCGACACAGGAACGGACAAAGGACTTGTACATGGTGAGAAGTACAGGGATGGTGGCACCAAGGGAACCCCTGCACATGGTAGAGAGGGGAGCGAGACGCCGAAAGCATATGTCTCGAAGATAGCGGACTTCAGGGATCTGACAACGTGTGCGAGTTACATACACACCCAGGTATTTTGTCTCATTAACCCAGTCCAAGGGCGTTCCTGATAAGAGAAGGGGTGGAGGTACAACACGACCGTGCCACATGGCTTTTGTTTTCGCAGTTGAAAGAAGGAAACCAAGTGAATCACTCTCTGGAGACCAGATCAAGGGCTTCCTGCATGCTGAGGTAGTCAGGGGCTTGGAGGAGGACATCGTCGGCATATCCTGAGTGGACAACTTCTGTCGGCCATGGGAGTGATGCAATGGAGTGCATGAGAGTGTTAAACAAGGTGGGACTCAGGACTCCACCTTGAGGGGTGCCGAGGTTCATTTCTTGAACAGGAGACATAGAGCCTTCAACGCGTACCTGGGCCTGACGTCCAGTGAGGTAAGAGGCGATCCATTGTAGAAGTCTCCCTTTAACCCCTAACCGTGCAAGTTCAGCTAAAATGAGGGCAGGCTGAGCCGTATCAAAGGCTCCCTTGATATCAAGGAAGACGGAGACGCGGGCAGTCTGATTGCAATAAAAGGAAGCAATGGAGTGTGCTGTGCTGCGATGTTGAATGAAACCATTGAGGGAGTTGTGGAAGCCGCCTGTGGTGTGAAGAAGGCGACGATGGAGTATCCTCTCCATCATCTTGCAAACACAGGAGGTAAGTGTGTGTGTGTGTGTGGTGGAAATTCAGTGCAATTTATCCTTCTGTAACCTTGATGTGGCAGGTCCTAATTTACTTGGCCTGTCTCTAGAGGGATATCTGGTCAGGGAGGGAAGAGGTGTTGGTAACGGCTGGGGACCTGTAGGAGGAGGTCATAGGGCAAGTGAGGATGTAGTGAGAGGGTCGGTTGACCACAAAGTTTACAAACAGTGCGGCCAGGCTCAAGGATGCCAATGTACTAGGCGTGGCGAAGTACAGTGGGGGTGGAGGTGATATGGTGTGGTGGGACAGGTACAGTAGGGGTGGGGGGAGGCACATAGGCATTGACAATATTGAGGGACACACCTTTTAGTGTGGTTGTGATGCCGAGTGCGTCGACATGCCGGTGGGGTACGGGTAGCCGGGGGTGGTGCCCTCAGGTCCAGGTAGCCCTGGTGGAGACAGCACAGACACAGGAGCCGGCGCGGCTTGCGGTGGGTGGAGGACAGGTTGAGGCACCACGTGTCGTGAAGAGGAGGCAGGACTTCGCTCGGGGGCAGCAGGACACACCAGGGCAGGCCCGGTAGGCGCTACACCAGTAGTGAAGGCCGCCGGCGGTGGAGTAGGGGGGGCTCACAGGGGGACTACCAGCTTGTGTTAAACTAGAAGAGAGGAGTGACTGGGTGGCAACAGAGGGCAAGAGTAGGTCGGAGATGGTGGTACAGAGTGTAGCGAAGAGTTGTTCAATACGGTTGGTAAATTCTTGGAAGAGGGATATGATCTGTGTCATGTCACTGTGAAAGTGTGTAGAGAGAGGCAGGTCGGTTGGGGGTCTACTGACAGTGCCACTACATCGCGACCTGCAGGCCCCGGGAGGTCAGTGCCAGGGTAACACGGGCTCAGATCACTCTCTAAACTCCTACTGCTGCGCCAGATTCAGTAACTCGCATCTCCCATATATTAATCCTAACTTAAATAACTTCCTTTGTAACTTAAACAGCATCATGTAATACTGTAATTCATGTAACCAGAATCTTAACCCTTTATGTAATTAATATTTGGTGGAAAATTTGACCTTGACTTGTGTTGTTGTGGTTGTTTTATGTAACCTTTTGTTAATATTGATGTAAACATGTGCTTCATGTACCCTATGTAACCATATAATGTCTCTCTTTCTCTCTCTCTCTCTCTCTCAACAACGACAACAACATCATCAACAACCACAACAAAAACATCATCATCAACAACAACAACAACAACAACAACAACTATCGGTTAAATGCCACAGAATTTACCAAAACATTTTCTTTTCCGCTTCACAAACACAAACTGAATAAATTACCCTCCCAGCCCACACTGCTCACACACCCTCCCTCACTATCCCACGACAGTACCCAAACATCCCACGACAGTACCCAAATATCCCATGACAGTACCCAAATATCCCATGACAGTGCCCAAATATCCCATGACAGTACCCAAACATCCCATGACAGTACCCAAATATCCCATGACAGTACCCAAATATCCCATGACAGTACCCAAATATCCCATGACAGTACCCAAACATCCCACGACAGTACCCAAATATCCCATGACGTGCCCAAATATCCCATGACAGTACCCAAATATCCCATGACAGTGCCCAAAATCCCATGACAGTGCCCAAAATATCCCATGACAGTACCCAAATATCCCATGACAGTACCCAAATATCCCATGACAGTACCCAAATATCCCATGACAGTACCCAACATCCCACGACAGTACCAAAACATCCCACGACAGTACCTAAAATATCCCACGACAGTACCCAAATATCCCATGACAGTACCCAAACATCCCATGACAGTACCCAAATATCCCATGACAGTACCCAAATATCCCATGACAGTACCCAAATATCCTATGACAGTACCCAAATATCCCATGACAGTACCCAAATATCCCATGACAGTACCCAAACATCCCACGACAGTACCCAAATATCCCATGACAGTGCCCAAATATCCCATGACAGTACCCAAAATCCCATGACAGTACCCAAAATCCCATGACAGTGCCCAAATATCCCATGACAGTACCCAACATCCCATGACAGTACCCAAATATCCCACGACAGTACCCAAAATCCCATGACAGTGCCCAAATATCCCATGACAGTACCCAAACATCCCACGACAGTACATGTGTCAATTGTCCACCTCCGTGTGTTATTGAATTACGTGAGCGAAGGAGGAGGGGGTCAGTCACCTTGTTATGTCGTTACGTCTGGTTGTTAGTGTGTGTGTGTGACGAGGACAGTAATTTCTTGTGTCAGATTATTGTATAAATTTAATAATAGAAAAGAATGATGTAACCTAACCTAACATTAACCTAACCTAACCTAACCTAACCTAACCTAACCTAACCTAACCTAACCTAACCTAACTAATCCTTTCTCTCAGAATGCAGTGGAGCAACAACCAATACACGCCATGGCCGGTATTCCGAGAAGGCCGTCAACGTTCCTCCCTCCAATAACGAAGGAGCCGCCTACGCCTTCCATAACGATGACGAGACGATGGAAGGACGTAAGATTCACCTCAATCCTAGGAACGTGCCCTCAGAATCCTGCCCGAGGGATGAGGAAGCCATAACCAGGATGGTAAGGATATCGTTTTTGTCTTTGTCATTCATTGTTGTTCTTACGTGTCCAAGAGGTTAGGTTAGGTTAGGTTAAGGTTAGGTTAAGGTTAATGCCCATACCGATCATGCCATAGCTAGGATTACACTTATGTCTACTCTTGTTGCCATAGCTAGGATTATGCTGTTGTCTACCCTTGTTGCCATAGCTAGGATTATGCTCTCGTCTACCCTTGTTACCATAGCTAGGATTATGCTCTCGTCTACTCTTGTTGCCATAGCTAGGATTATGCTCGTCTACTCTGTTGCCATAGCTAGGATTATGCTCTCGTCTACTCTTTTGCCATAGCTAGGATTATGCTCCGTCTACTCTTGTTGCCATAGCTGGGATTATGCTCTCGTCTACTCTTGTTGCCATAGCTAGGATTATGCTCTCGTCTACTCTTGTTACCGCAGCTTTATGCCTCGTCTCCCTTGTTACCATATCTGGGATTATGCTCTCGTCTACCCTTGTTACCATAGCTAGGATTATGCCTGTCTACCCTTGTTACCATAGCAGATTACCTTATGTCTACCTTTTGCCGAAGCTAGGATTATGCTCTCGTCTACTCTTGTTGCCATAGCTAGGATTATGCTCCTCGTCTACTCTTGTTGCCATAGCTAGGATTATGCTCTCGTCTACTCTTGTTACCATAGCTAGGATTATGCTCTCGTCTTCCCTTGTTACCATAGCTAGGATTATGCTTTCGTCTCCTCTTGTTGCCCAGCTAGGATTATGCTCTCGTCTACCCTTGTTACCATAGCTAGGATTATGCTCTCGTCTACCCTTGTTGCCATAGCTAGGATTACACTTATGTCTCTCTTGTTGCCATAGCTAGGATTATGCTCGTCTACTCTTGTTGCCAAGCTGGGATTATGCCTGTCTACTCTTGTTGCCATAGCTAGGATTATGCTCTCTACCCTTGTTACCATAGCTAGGATTATGCTCTCGTCTACTCTTGTTGCCATAGCTAGGATTATGCTCTCGTCTACTCTTGTTGCCATAGCTAGGATTATGCTCTCGTCTACTCTTGTTGCCATAGCTAGGATTATGCTCTCGTCTACTCTTGTTGCCATAGCTAGGATTATGCTCTCGTCTACTCTTGTTGCCATAGCTAGGATTATGCTCTCGTCTACTCTTGTTACCATAGCTAGGATTATGCTCTCGTCTCCTTGTTACCATATCTAGGATTATGCCTCGTCTACCCTTGTTACCATAGCTAGGATTATGCTCTCGTCACCCTTGTTACCATAGCTAGGATTATGCCTCGTCTACCCTTGTTACCATAGCTAGGATTACATATGTCTACTCTTGTTGCCATAGCTAGGATTATGCCTCGTCGACCTTGTTGCCATAGCTAGGATTATGCTCTCGTCTACTCTTGTTACCATAGCTAGGATTATGCTCTCGTCTACCCTTGTTACCATAGCTAGGATTATGCTTTCGTCTACTCTTGTTGCCATAGCTAGGATTATGCTCTCGTCTCTTGTTACCAAGCTAGGATTATGCTCTCGTCTACCCTTGTTACCATAGCTAGGTTATGCTCTCGTCTACCCTTGTTGCCATAGCTGGATTACACTTGTCTACCTTGCTCCATGCCAGGATTATGCCTGTCTCCTTGTTGCCATAGTAGGATTTGCCTGTCTACTCTTGTTGCCATAGCTAGGATTATGTCTCGTCTACTCTTGTTGCCATAGCCGGATTACATATGTCTACTCTTGTTGCCATAGCTAGGATTATGCTCTCGTCTACTCTTGTTGCCATAGCTAGGATTATGCTCTCGTCTACTCTTGTTGCCATAGCTAGGATTATGCTCTCGTCTACCCTTGTTGCCATAGCTAGGATTATGCTCTCGTCTACCCTTGTTACCATATCTAGATTATGCTCTCGTCTACCCTTGTTTCCATAGCTAGGATTATGCTCTCGTCTACCCTTGTTACCATAGCTAGGATTATGCTCTCGTCTACCTTGTTGCCATAGCTAGGATTATGCTTCGTCTACCTTGTTACCATAGCTAGGATTATGCTCTCGTCTACCCTTGTTACCATATCTGATTATGCTCTCTGTCTACCCTTGTTGCCATAGATAGGATTATGCTCTCGTCTACCTTGTTACCATGCTAGGTTATGCTCTGTCTACCCTTGTTATGAGGATTTGCTCTCTCCTTGTTACCATAGCTGGATTTGCCTGTCTCCCTTGTTCCATATCTGGATTATGCCTGTCTACCCTTGTTCTAGTAGGATTTGTCTGTCTACCCTTGTTACCATAGTTGTTTTTGCTTGGATTAACTTGTTCTCTTGTTGCCATAGCTAGGATTGTCTCTGTCTACTCTTGTTACCATAGCTAGGATTATGCTCTCGTCTACCCTTGTTACCATATCAGGATTATCTCTCGTCTACCCTTGTTACCATAGCTAGGATTATGCTCTTCCCTTGTTACCATAGCTGGATTATGCTCGTCTACCCTTGTTGCCTAGCTAGGATTACACTTATGTCTCTCTTGTTGCCTGCTGATTATGCTCTCGTCGACTCTTGTTGCCATGCTAGGATTATGCCTCGTCTACTCTTGTTACTAGCTAAGTTATGCCTCGTCTACCCTTGTTGCCATAGCTAGGATTATGCTTCGTCTACTCTTGTTGCCATAGCTAGGATTATGCTCTCGTCTACCCTTGTTACCATAGCTAGGATTATGCTCTCGTCTACCCTTGTTACCATAGCTAGGATTATGCTCTCGTCTACCCTTGTTACCATAGCTAGGATTACACTTATGTCTACTCTTGTTGCCATAGCTAGGATTATGCTCTCGTCTACTCTTGTTGCCATAGCTAGGATTATGCTCTCGTCTACTCTTGTTGCCACAGGCTAGGATTATGCTCTCGTCTACTCTTGTTGCCATAGCTAGGATTACACTTATGTCTACTCTTGTTGCCATAGCTAGGATTATGCTCTCGTCTACCCTTGTTGCCATAGCTAGGATTATGCTCCTCGTCTACTCTTGTTGCCATAGCTAGGATTATGCTCTCGTCTCCCTTGTTACCTGTTTCGTCTACCCTTGTTACCATAGGTACTCTCTTGTTGCCTAGCTGGATTATGCCTGTCGCTCTTGTTGCAGCTAGGATTATGCCTCGTCTACTCTTGTTACCATAGCTGTTATGCTCTCGTCTCCCTTGTTACCATGGTTTCTTTGTTCTCTGTTGCCTGCTGGTTTGCTTCGTCTCTCTTGTTACCATAGCTGTTATGCTCTCTCTCCCTTGTTACCTAGCTAGGATTATGCTCTCGTCTACCCTTGTTGCCATAGCTAGGATTACACTTATGTCTACTCTTGTTGCCATAGCTAGGATTATGCTCTCGTCTACTCTTGTTGCCATAGCTAGGATTATGCTCTCGTCTACTCTTGTTGCCATAGCTAGGTTATGCTCGTCTACTCTTGTTGCCATAGCTAGGATTACACTTTGTCTACTCTTGTTGCCATAGCTAGGATTATGCTCTCGTCTACCCTTGTTGCCATAGCTAGGATTATGCTCTCGTCTACTCTTGTTGCCATAGCTAGGATTATCTCCTCGTCTGCCCTTGTTACCATAGCTAGGATTATGCTCGCGTCTACCCGTACCATATCAGGATTATGTCTCTGTCTACCTGTTACCCAAGCTAGGATTATGCTCTCGTCTCCTTGTTACCATAGCTAGGATTATGCTCGTCTACTCTTGTTGCCATAGCTAGGATTATGCTCTCGTCTACCCTTGTTACCATAGTTAAGTTATGCTCTCGTCTACCCTTGTTACCATATCTAGGATTATGCTCTCGTCTACCCTTGTTGCCATGGATGGGATTATGCTCGCGTCTACCCTTGTTACCATAGCTAGGATTATGCCTCGTCTGCCCTGTTACATAGCTAGGATTATGCTCTCGTCTACCCTTGTTACCATAGCTAGGATTATGCTCTCGTCTACCCTTGTTACCATATCTAGGATTATGCTCTCGTCTACCCTTGTTGCCATAGATAGGATTATGCTCGTCTACCCTTGTTACCATAGCTGGGATTATGCTCGTCTACCCTTGTTACCATAGCTAGGATTATGCTCGCGTCTACCCTTGTTACCATAGCTAGGATATGCTCTCGTCTACCCTTGTTACCATAGCTAGGATTATGCTCGCGTCTACCTTGTTACCATATCTGGGATTATGCTCTCGTCTACCCTTGTTACCATAGCTAGGATTATGCTCTCGTCTACCCTTGTTGCCATAGATAGGGATTATGCTCTCGTCTACCCTTGTTACCATAGCTAGGATTATGCTCGTCTGCCCTTGTTACCATAGCTAGGATTATGTTCCGTCTACCCTTGTTGCCATAGATAGGATTATGCTCTCGTCTACCCTTGTTTCCATAGCTAGGTTATGCTCTCGTCTACCCTTGTTACCATAGCTAGGATTATGCTCTCGTCTACCCTTGTTACCATAGCTAGGATTATGCTCTCGTCTCCTTGTTACCAAGCTAGGATTATGCTCTCGTCTACTCTTGTTGCCATAGCTAGGATTATGCTCTCTCGTCTACCCTTGTTACCATAGCTAGGATTATGCTCTCGTCTACCCTTGTTGCCATAGCTAGGATTATGCTCTCGTCTACCCTTGTTGCCATAGCTAGGATTATGCTCTCGTCTACTCTTGTTGCCATAACTAGGATTATGCTCTCGTCTACTCTTGTTGCCATAGCTAGGATTATGCTCTCGTCTACCCTTGTTACCATAGCTAGGATGGTTAGGATAAGTGACAGTAATACAGAAAGAAGGATGATAAATAAACGTGTCGACCAAGAATGTTACTCGGTTGAAAATTTAAAGCATAATGTAAGGAGAATCAAGCGTCAAGATCCCATATAAACATTAAGTATACAAATAATATATAAATTAAGAAATATATATACATACATATATACCTGAATTTATAATACAACTTTCATATAATTTCGTATTCAGTAATTATTCATCATTCACTGTACCGTAAATTATAGTTAATGAGACGATATCTAGGCTTGTTAGGCCGTGATGCTAACGACTGTTTGTTCATAATTTATCGCTCAGTGTTTACATCATTTAGTTGGTTCGCTTTGTTGTTTGATATTGATTATTGGATCATAAATATTAGGCCTTGAAGGGGTTATAGTCTTTGTTGTTAGTTATTATTATTTGTTATTATTATTATTATTATTATTATTATTGTTATTATTATTATTGTTATTGTTATTATTATTATTATTATTATTATTATTATTAGTATTGTTATTATTATTATTATTATTATTATTATTATTATTATTATTATTATTGTATTTATTATTATTATTGTTATTATTATTATTATTATTATTATTTTATTATTATTATTGTTATTATTATTGTTATTATTATTATTATTATTATTATTATTGTTATTTATTATTGTTATTATTATTGTTATTATTATTATTATTATTATTATTATTATTATTATTATTATTATTATTATTGTTATTATTATTGTTATTATTATTTATTATTATTTATTATTATTATTATTATTATTATTGTTATTATTATTGTTATTATTATTAGTATTGTTATTATTATCATAATTATTATTATTATTATTATTATTATTATTATTACTATTATTATTATTTATTATTATTATTGTTATTATTATTTATTATTATTATTATTATTATTATTATTATTATTATTATTATTATTATTATTATTGTTATTATTATTATTATTATATTATTTATTATTTATCGCTACTAAAATTACTATTCTTCTCCTGAATGTTGTTTAATTACTTATGACATTGTAATCAGTGAAGTAAATACAGTATTACATTTAGAAAAGTATTATTAAATTACTAACAAGAACAATTAAATATAACCACGTACAAAACTATACTCCCCCACCGCCTACCTGCATTTTCCTTTACTTAGGCCGTACGTAGGTCGCCCATACACTCCCGTTAATGGTCCGTGTTTCTCCCCCCAGGCCATGTCTCAGGAAGTGTAACACGGACCAGGACTGTCTGAGCCGGAGAAAGGTGTGTCTCTGTGATGGTGTGTGTGGTCTCAGCTGCATCAAACCTGGTGAGTATTGATGGTTCTCTTTATGTACGTACACATACATACACACACAGACACATACACAGACATACATACATACA